GGGGATTGAACTCAGGCCCTTGCGCTTGCTAGGCAAGCACTTATTCTACTGAGCCATCTCCCTGGCCCCAGGAAAAAAATATTAATTACATCTTTAAAAATTAAAAAAAAAAATTTCTAAAAGCTCTAGTTAACTGCAAAGACACTACTGCTGCTGCTACAGAAATATGTTAGACATTAGCCAGGCATGGTGGTACCCAGCTAGAATCTTAGCACTGTGGGAGGCTAAGGTAGAAGATCACAAAGTTGAAGCCCAGCCTGGGGAACTTAATAAGACCCTGTTTGAATAAAAAAAAGTCTGAAGATATACTCAGTGCAAAGGCTCTGGGTTCAATATTTAGTACTGGAAGTAAAAAATTAAAAAATCAGAACATAACCAAACTATTTTGGACAGTTAACAGAGAAACCCATTAGTTTCAAAAAACAACAAAAATGCAAACTCAGAGCTGGGGAGATGGCTCAGTGGAGTAAGTGCTTCCCTGGCAAGCCCAAATGCCTGAGTTCAATCCCTGGTTCTGCCAAAAAATAAAAAGAAACAAACAAAAACGCAAACTCTTTCCTTCCCTGCACTCTCACTGCACCAAGAATGTGACTTGTACTGTATTCAGGGCCCAAGTAAATGGACCGGATGCACATTTTTTTTTTTTTCTACTTTACTCATGGGCCCAGAGGATTAATTTCACCCTATGTGCTTTCCTTTTTTATTCCTCAAGATCTCAAATGTAGTTTAAAATGGTCTCAAACTTGTGATCCTCCTGTCTTAGCCTCTCAAGTGCTGTAATTACAGACATGTGATACGTGCTGCCTCAATTGTTGATATTTAAAATGGTTCAAACTGGCTAGGAAGGTGCATACCCATAATTCCAGCACCCAGGAGGCTGAAGCAGGATGATCACCATGAAGTTGAGGCTGGCCTGGGCTACATAGTTCAAGGTCATCATAAACTATATAGTGAGATCTTGTCTTAAAGTCCAAAATTGACCTTAAAAAGATACTTAGGCATGATGGCACATAATTGTCATGCCAGAAATATGGAAGGCCAAGGCAAGTGGGTCCCAGCTCCTCACGTTCAACATGAAAGTCCTGGACTCAACCCTAATATGGTTTGCGTTTGTGCTTTTCATGATTTCCCAAAGTATCCTGCCCACTATTTTCGGTTGACACAATCAGAAAAAATGAGGACACTTCTCTCTCTCTCTGCCTCCTTCCCTTTTTTTTTTTTTTTGCAATTTTTTTTATTATTTTTTTTCCAAAGTTTTACTGAAAAGCAGATAGCAATGAGACAGTTTCAAATCAAATCGGAAGTACAGTTTCAACAAATAATACACTGCATAT